TAAGAAAGTGAGGAGAAGCCGGGCTCGGTGGCTCAGCCTGTAATCCCGCGCCTTTGGGAGGCTGAGGTGAGCGGATTGCCTGAGCCCGCGGGTTCGAGACCCGCCTGGGCAGCGAGACTTCATCTCTACAATAAATCAAAAAATCAGCCAGGCGTGGTAGCACTTGCCTGTAATTCCGGCTACTCAGAAGGCTGAGGCGGAAGGATCGCCGGAGCCCAGCAGGTTGAGGTTGCGGTGGGCACTCCAGTCTGGGCGACAGAGTGAGACTCCAACTCAAAAAAAAAAAAAAAGAAAGTGAGGAGAGATGGACATTTTTAACAGAAGGAGCTACATCAAAGACCTTAGGTGGCTCTGCCATGGGCAGGCAACAGGAGAGATGCAGGGTATGCAGAATGGTGACCAGTGGGTCACCTGGGGCTGGCTGGTCAGCAGGAGACAAGAGTCACATTTGCAGGAGACCATGGAGACAGAGAGTACAAATTCAGTGACAGTCACACAAATCCTGAGCCCCATCTATTCTATCCCAAAATATGTTGGCGATGCCGACTGCTTGTTCCAACATCTTTTCTGCAATCTGGGTCAAATGCCTCATTTAGTAAAGAAGCTCTGCTCCTCTAAAAGATGAAGTAAGCTAAATTTCTGTTCAGCTTTTTATGAATTTTTCAATCATAAGGTCCAAATTTAAATGCTTTTCAAAGTATGACTAAAGTAGCAAGCTGTGATACATGATTGGTTAAATTTTATTTTGCACATTTCAAAAAATAATAATAATTCCATATGTTTTTACCAGATCATTGAACTGTCTTGGCAATGAATAGATCAGTCTATCTAGGAATGATTGATATCATATGATTCCTGGGTATCATATTTTGATGATGTTCTACAGCTTTTTAATCCACCAAAACAGAAACCCACCCACACACACTGAGCTCCAAACTGGCAGTTTTTGTCTTGATGGCTACATTTAGAGTTTAAACATCATCATTAAAATTTTACAGGTGACATATCAAGAAAAATTAAGCCCACCAGTTGTGTTGCTTTGAAAGGCAAACATTCCTTCATTATAATGAATGAAATTGTGTGCTAGGTATGAATGCTGGCGACCTCTGGAAAATGAACCACTGACCCATAAATGGATGAGAACCAGCCAGAGTAAACGAGGCAGAAGTTTTCCCAGCCTAACTGTGCATGCTGGCAGGGCAGACTCTTGTTATAATTAAAGGAGATAGAGTGGTCAATAGGGAACATTTAATAGGAACAAACATGACTACATTGCCAAACTATTTTTCTAGTCCATTCTTCATTCTCATGTTATCCCATATATCTGGAATTTTAAAGTGACACAAGCATTGCACATAAAAACAACACACATACAGACTTGTACAGCAGAACTAAGGAAAAATTCAATTAGAATACAGACAACATCAATGACCAATTTATTCAGAGCAAATCTCCATCTAAATCCATACTGACCAATGCAGTCAGTGGCCATTAAAACGAGCATGTGAAATGTGGCTAGTCTGAATAGGGTGTGCAGTCAATGTACAATACACACTAGATTTCAAAGACTTGGCACTAAGAAAAAAAAAGAATGTGAAATGCCTTGATAATTTTTTGTATTGATTGTATTTTAAAATGATGATATTCTGGATATCTTGGGTCAAAGAACATGTATCATTAAAATTAATTTCAACTTTTTTCACTTTTGTTTCCTAATATGGCTATCAGAACATCTGAAATTACATATATGGCTTGCACGTATGATTTGCATGATGCATTGAAATTCTATTGGTCACTGCTGATCTAAATAAAAAGTTTTGGTAAGCAAGTTAGTGGTTAGCAAATCTGAAATAATTGAAATATAAATTCATATGAACTGACATATAACATGACAATATGAAGAAAAGTGACCACGGAGTGATTGATACTTTGATAAGTCACCTTTTCCTTTTTTTCTACATGAGCTAGTTTCTGAAAATCCAAATATTTGCTTAACAACTTTCTAAAAGAACAATAAAAAAGAAGACATTTGGGAAAATGAGTTGTGCTCTAATAGTAAACTGTGTTACAGAAGAAACAAAGGACTCATCCACCCAAGATCTCTGGAGGCTCCTAATTTTTGCCCCCACACAAGCCATTATTGAGAAGATAAGGTTAAGTCTCTTATTCATTTATGTGAACAGGGCTTATACTTTTCTGTCAGAAAGAATATCAGAGAACTCTCCTCCTCCAAAGATACATTGATGGAAGCATCATTGACAGGTTGACCGTATTTTGAATGGGAAAATGTAAACCACGAAGCGACATTGTAATGGGAGTGCAAACTTCAAGGGTGTGATGTGTCCCCAAGCCCTGTTGCTTAGGAAGTTTCAACACAGAGAGGAGTGTTTGTTTCATCAAAGAACCTTATGCTCTTTGGGGAGTCCACTGAATCTATTTTTTCTACAGTTTTCCCAACTCTCTCATGTTGCGTTGAGAGGGATACTTTTATGCTTAGGCAGAAGAAAGTTATACTGTAAGTATACTACATTGGGTCTTGCCAAAGTGAAAGAGATTTTAACTTGCATAGTACACAGAGTATACTTAATATGTATAGTCTGTGGTATTTAAAGGGACTGTCACTGCAGAACAAATAAGCAAATGTAAGATTGTCTTCACTAGGCTAGCAGGAAAGCGTTCAGGGTATCCCAGGATTCATTCGATTCCTGAGATAGGTGAGGGCACTCTTCAAACTTCACCAGCCCTGAGACTTCTACAGAAGGGAAAGGGAAGGGTCACCTGATTAGAACAGCTTCATTCTAGACAGGGCCAGCATAGGGACACAGCCACAAAGCCCATTCATTGAGCCACAGAAGAATGTGACTATGTGAGGTTTAAATGAGAGAAAGCATATAAAGGGCTTAGCGTGTATAATAAGTGTTCAGAAAACACCTCATTGTTTTGAAACATGTCCTATGGCATGAGTAAAGTTTACTTCCATTTCTCTGCAGAAAATGCAAAGGCTCTAGAAAATTCGCCATGTACCCTCTGATTTTGTCTAAGTTCATTTTTGAGAGGCTTTACTCATGCTTTGGCTGACAGTGACTCATGGTTAAATCATTTCACTCATCTTTTTTGTTTTTTAATACAATTGCATATCAAATGCCATTCTGCTTTATTCTCTTCTCCCGCCCCCAAGGAAAACTAAGCAACGCTGACAGCCCCGATACTTTAATGAACAAAAGTCATTCAGCAAAAACACTTGGTATCTGCCTCATCAACTGAAAAGCCAAAGACTAATTATTGAGAATTTTCTAGAGCACTATGAAAATTAATATCACTTTATGTGAGTTGAAAGTTGGTACCCAATGTCTGCTAAGAAGATATAAGGAATGTTGCCAAAGTATAAATAGGTCCACACTGAAATTTAATTAGACACTGCATATGTTAATAATAAATTCAATTAATTTAACTTTCTACCTATACTAGAGGAGAAGAAAAACCCAGGCAAAATAATAATTCATTTTAAATGCCTCAATTGGTAACCTCCTTTCCTGAAGAGTGATTTATGCAGTAATTTACTGACTGTGTCTTTATAAGATTGTTCCAAACCAGCCCTTCTGAAATAATAATAACTTCTGAATGTGTGTTGTGAGAGATATAACAAATGACTTCTTATTAATTTTCATTTAATGAGTTGCCTATTCACATGGTAATTTTTAAAAAATTCTCTGCTTAAGATAAACAGGTTATAAATACTGTGGATAACACTTCCATTTCACAAAAATCACGACAGGAAAATCTGTCTCATATTCTCTACATGATTTGAAGGTCAATCAGTTTCCAATTTTCTATACTAAAACGGTATCTATTTCTTTTCCAGTTAGCACAGCTGATCATTTTAAATTTCTTCAGCCAAGTGATTCCAAATTGGTTAAAAATGAAAATAGAATATTTATCAGCAGCAAAGGTCTTAGCAGGAATAATGGGGTGGAGGGTGGTGGCAGCAAGAAACAAAATCACAAACAAGGTAGAAAGGCAGGTAGGGCTAGTTAAGAAGCCCCCAGCACTGGTTCTTTTTTAAAAAAACAAAAGGCACAAAGATCATTTCTTACAGTCTTCCTATTTCCCCAAGTTACTTTTTAAAAAAAGACTCCATAATTTCTTACACAAATATTAATATTTAAGAATATTAATTGCTTATATTTTTCAAAAAACATAAATTACATAGCAACTAATTAACTATAGGTTATCAATATAAAAAGAGCAAGAATAAAATAATAAAAACAAAAGAATAAAAACTGGGAAGAAGAAATTGCTCAGCGTCCTGGGTATTTCAAATGGTTCACACCGATTAAAAAACAGACAGGGCAAGACTCTTAAAAATAATTCCTTGCAACACTTGGAAGAGTCTGCCTAAAGTATTAAATAATTCAAATGCAATTGCTACTTACATGAGAACCGAAAGGGCCTGGCTCCTAACCCGCACTGCCTCACACCCTCTCCGTGGAAAAGCCCATACTGCATCTCGCCCATGAACTTGTCCAGCTCCTGCCCCGAGGCGTTGACGAGCAGAGCCCCCGTTTTGCAGAGGATAGTGGCTTTGATCCACAACGGCGTCCCCAGGGCTGTCACAACTCCAAGGGCACACGCAAAGCTTAACACTCCGGCCCATGCAAAAAATGATTTTCTTCTGCTGGTTTGGCATGACGAGAAACGGCTTTGTGAGGGCGAGGTTCAAACACAGGACCTTTGTGAGCCACGAGCAGGGAATGCCCTTCTGACTGCATTTATTATAGAAGCTGAACGGACAGATCCCACTAGAAAGGCAACTTGACCATCGACGGTGGTTCTCACTAGGTTAAAGGTCAGGAGATGAAGGTCTTGTCATCAACTCATACTTCACTTTTCTCCTTTTCTTCTGCTGCTTCTCTCTAATTTGAGATCTTTGGATTAAGAATCCATAAAATAAAACTCTTTCAAACAGCCTTTAAGTATCTCCTCTTGTGTCACTTGGTAACAAAGGTCTAAGATAACAGATGGAGTCCTCAGTGTAACATGATAAATGCTTCTCTTCCTCAGCCTTTTGTCTGATTGGGTGTGTTGAAACTTTCAGAAACAGGCAGGAATCGATGGCAAATTTTCAGAGCAACTTGAGAAGTTCACTTATAGGTGTGTTTTTATTTTTGTTGTTTGATTTTGGTTTTGGTGGGAAGGGAGGAGTTTTAGCAGAGCTAGGAAGAACATATATACATGTATTGACAACTAACTGATGTTTAAAAATTTTAATTGTTGCAGGATAAGGCTGCGAAACTGAACTGCATCCTACATGGATAAAAATGCTCTAGACCAACCATGGGAGCTTGTCCTCCTGACTTCATTTCTCCCAGATCCATGGTTTGTCACTGATGTTTCAGTAGAGAATTGGATTCAAGTTTTTCTTGGCACACAAAAATATGGAGATGCAGGTGCAAACATCTAGATTTTTAAATAAACACAAGTTTTGCCTACAAGGGATGTGTCACTGGATCCAAAGAGTATCAGAATCTGTAAAGACAAGGGCATATTGGTGGAAAGAGGGATTGTGGTCAGATAGGTGGCTCTAAAAATTCATCGTTCTCAGCCTGTAATCCCGCACCTTTGGGAGGCTGAGGTGAGTGGATTGCCTGAGCCCGCAGGTTCGAGACCTGCCTGGGCAACTTGGCGAGACCTCATCTCTACAATAAATCAAATATTAGCTGGGCGTGGTAGCGCGTGCCTGTAGTTCCAGTTACTTGGAAGGTTGAGGCAGAAGTATTGCCGGAGCCCAGCAGGTCGAGGCTGTGGCAGCCAGGAGCGGCCACTGCACTCCAGTCTGGGTGACAGAGTGAGACTCCAACTTAAAAAACAAACAAACAAAAAAAACATTAAAAGGCTTGGCTCACATCGGTAATCCTAGCACTGTGGGAGGCCAAGGAGTTTGAGACCAGCCTGGGCAACGTAGCGAGACCCTGACTCTAAAAAAGAAAGAAAGCCAAAACAACAACAACAACAAAAAAATAAACACGGGTCTCAGCAGTGCTCATCCATTAGATAGACAAGATACAAAGTCATGGGCAAAGATTAAGTAGCAAGGCACACTTGGTTAAATTGTCAATACCTGGAAACTAAAGTTCAGAATACAGTGATAGATTTTTTTTTTTTTTTTGAGTTGGAGTCTCACTCTGTTGCCCAGGCTGGAGTGCAGCGGCACGCTCATGGCCACCGCAGCATCGAACTGTTGGGTTCTGGCCATCCCTCTGCCTCAGCCTTCCAAGTAGTTGGAACTACAGGCATGCACTACCATGCCCAGCTAAATTTTTATTTTATTGTAGAGATGAGGTCTCACCAAGTTGCCCAGGCGGGTCTCGAACCCGCGGGCTCAGGCAATCCACTCATCTCAGCCTCCCAAAGTGCTGGAATTACAGGCTGAGCCACCGAGCCCGGCTCAGTGATAGATTTTTAACTTTGCATTTCCAAAGGGATTCCTCCTTCTACAGACACAGGACTGGTGTGTGGGGTGTGTGTGTGTGTGTGTGTGTGTGTGTGTGTGTGTGTGTGTGTGTGTGAGATTGTTTACTGAATGTCTGTGTATACCATGTTATTATGCTGGGCTCTGACCTACAAAGTTAACTTTTAGTAAGAACTTAATATGTCTGGTACTTTGTTAAGTTTACGTAATTTAGCTTATCTAATTCTCAAAATGACCACATAAAGTGATAAGGATGAAGATGAAGATATCCCCCCTTACAGCATATAAGGAAACTGAGGCTCAGAAAGTTTAAGCAACTTGCCCAAGAAAGTAGTGGAGCTGGGATTCCGATCTGTGTCTTCTAATTCTGAGATTGACGTGCTGTTCTAAGTCTCTGACCCTGAAGAGATGGCAAACACGTTAGCTTGGGTTGGAGTGGGCTGGGAGAAACAAGGGCAGAGTAACTCATTACTAGTTACACATCTCGGGTGTTTGAAGAACACAGACTTCTGTAAACAGAACTTTCCCAGTTGGCCAAAAGTGCATGCTTATGCTAGCTTCGGTTTTTTGATCTACCTTTAAGCATGACAGCTCAGAGGAAATTAATAAATAAAGATTTATTTTGCACCATTTTCAGCATAAATGAGTCTTTATATTATGCGTACTTTGAAGGGAATTTTGAGGTACAGTCTTGGAGGATTGGCAAACTTCTCACACAGCCATCCTCTCCTGTGAGTTGCCAGAGGCTGTCTGGGTAAGAATAGACAACTAAGTATAGAACTGATTGAAGAATGCCAGTGTGCCTTCAGGGGAGGCAGGGGCAAAGTAAACCAAGGCCACAGAAGAACTGGGCATGTGGAAGATTCCAAAGAGGCACTAAAAATAAGGTTTACAATATTAGTTGTCTTTTTATTTTGTGTAGCTTGACATAGAATAAGCAACTCATCTAATGAATTCTCCATTGGATTTAGAGGAAATACCATCATTGTCCCTTAGCAAAACAAGGGGGCACCTGTGCCCCCAATAAGTGGTTATCTGGGCATATTTGTACCACACCCACCCTGGAATACTTAGTTTCAGATGTCTAAGGAGAGTTAAGTTTATTAAATTAACATGTTCTGTAATTGGAAGAGACAGAACATTTCCAAAACCTGTGAGCAGACATTACCTACAACTTAATCAATACTGTTAATAAATACCTTTACAGAAAGGGTATGGCAAGATAGCATAGTTAGCCTAGGAGCATGGGACAATGGCTTAATTAACCAAGACTCAGCTAAGTGTATCTAAAGCTGTCAAGGAGGAAAGTCTTGATTATGGATATATAGAGTGCAATTAGATCATATCAATTCTTATGTTTATATCAATCTGCAGCGAAACGTTCACTGGTTTGTAGAGAAATGAGAAAAATAAATACAACATAGTGAGTTAATCTCTTATCCTGAAATTATATCCTTCTTAATATTTGTTGTTAAAATTCATTTTCTCTAATGAAATAATTGTAGTTGAATTGTTAGTACTTCTACTTGACAAAATTTAAAAACTACCAGGCATTGTGACTCACTTCTATAATCCCAGCACTTTGGGAGGCCGAGGTGAGAAGATTACTTGAGGCCAGGAGTTCAAGACCAGTCTGGGCAACATAGCCAGACTCCATCTCTACAAAAATTATCCGGGTGGATGGTTCATGCCTTTAGTCCCAGATACTGGGGAGGCTGAGGCAGGAGGATCACTTGAACCCAGGAGTTCAAGGCTTTGGTGAGCTATGATCATGCCACTGGACCCCAGTCTAGGCAACAGAGCAAAATCCTCTCTGAAAAAACAAAACAAAACAAAAACCGGTAAATCTATGTCTGTTCCCAGTAGAAAACAAAACCACTTGGTCTATGATACACACGATCCCTTCATGGCAAGGGTGAGGCCTAAAACCTCACCCTTTGCTCTAACGCAGTGGTTCTCAGCTTTGCTGCTCATTGGAATCACTTGAGAAGATGTGAGAGGTTCCCCTATCTGTGTCCTCATCCCTGAGATTCAGATTTATTTGATTTTGGAGTATGGCCTTAGTGTCGACTCACCCCCACGTGATTGCAATGAACAGCCGAGGTTGAAAGTCACTCCCTTTACCCCATTCCCACATAACCACCTTCTGATTACAAAGTAGGCTTTGCAGGTACCTCAGTGTTGGAACGCTGTAGACATGAGCATCTTGGTCACTAGAGAGACATAGGCTCGTAGGGAATTCACAAGTGGGCACTACTATTTATAGCTCAAACTTTCCTGAATTTTTTCAGCACCAGGTTTCAGCATACCCATGACTCAAGACCAGATCTGGATGAGAGATTTACCCCCCAATCACCATGTGGCTGTCCTGGTCATGCGAGGCAGCCCCCCCTCAGGCTCTACGCCCACTTCACCTCTTCTCCGTGCAGCTTCCTTTCAAACATTAACATTCGCCACCCACAGGTTGCATAGTAGTGTGTGTGATCCACCCTCTGAGAATGGTATAATGGAACCTGGCAGTCATTATGCCTGACAGCCTTCTTTTGAAATCTCATCTTAAATGTCTTGAATGACAGTGATGACACCATTTGCAGTCTCTCTGAGAATTTGAGTCATTAATGTCAGCAAGTTTTCACCAAGTATCCTGCTGAAATCTTTACTTCTCTCAATCTTAATAGGAATGCATTTGGTGAAATGAGAAAATGGAGCTAGGCCTCCCCCTCCTATGACCCCTTTCAGGTGCTGGATAATGATATAATACTGCAGAGTAACTAGAAAGACCATAGAGAAAGAAGCGCCATTGCAGACTCTGTTTTCGCTTCCAAGATCGCATTCATGCCTCTCCTCACACTGAATTGACTGCGTCTGTTTTTCCTTATGGCCATTTGAAAACAAAAGAAAAAAAAAAGCCCAAATCCAGAGGCATGGGAATTGTTATCTGATTTGCTCCTCAAGTATAAGAGACAACATGGGATCATAGTGTGGAGAAACGCGATCCGGGGTCTGTTTCCAGGTCCATTGCTAAGTTAAGGATTCCTTCTCTGGCATCATTTTATATATTTGTGAAAACAGTGGTCTGGGTCGCACCAGTGATTCTTGAATCATTTTTAAGCAGAAAAACCATTGCCACAACTGAACTTTTGGGTAAAATGAGACACAAATCAAGCAGCTATACTGAAAAAGTGGGTGGTCATGGAGCTGCTACTGTGTCCCCTCAC